TATAATGTTGTTTTGGTTGTAAAGCATTCTTTGTTTACAAAATGAGTTTAATGATGAAACTGACACTGAATGTAGTAGTGTTTATATTTGTGTAGTATTTTCATGTTTAAATTAAAAGTTTTTTTAATGGGAACATAGTTTCTATTCCTGTTGTTGTTCGAGTCTTTTCCTCGTTTTAATCTTTGTTGTTGTCGTCAGGTTTTTATGTACTAACACCGTTGTGTGTTTTTTCACAACATTCAGCCAAACACAGAAAGAAACACAGATTTAATGTTTTATTCACAAACTTTAAATAAATGATTCGGCTACCAGACTGTCTGGGATTCAGGAGAAATTACAGGAAACAAGCAAAGATTTTGTCAAATCTTCTAAACTTTAAGGCAAATTATTAATTTAGTTATGATAATTTAGCATCTAAAATCATTTAAACATTTCCTGTTACTTCCTAAAATTACTTTTTCTCAGCATGAAAACATGATCCTGACTTCTCTATTATTTATAAACTTTAAGAAGCTCTTTAGATATCTATCTAAAATATGCTTAAACACCAGCTACACAGACATTTAAACAGTTAAGTAGTTAGCAAGATAATTAGCATCTGAACAGCTAATGAGTTAGCAGGATGGTTAGCATCTGAACTATAAAGTTAGCAAGAGTTTGCATCTGACCAGGTAAATAGTTAGTAAGATAACTAGTTAGTAAGATAGTTAGCATTTAAAAAATAAAGTTTGCGAGAGTTAGCAACAGCTAAATAGTTAGCAAGACCGTTAGCATCTGAACAGCTAACCATTTAGCGAAAGTTTTTCCCTTCTTATATAGAAAAAAACATCTGGTAGTCCACAGTGTGTGTGTGTGTGTGTGTGTGTGTGTGTGTGTGCGTGCGTGCGTGCGTGCGTGCGTGCGTGCGTGCGTGTGCTGACTGCGATCAGCTGTGGAGATACGTCAGCAGAGCCAAAAACAAGCTGCAATAAAATCAGCCTGAATGAAACTGAATTATTGAACTCAGTGAGCTCAACAGAACCTGCAGTTTAATTTTCACTGTTTGTCCTGGACCCGTACAGAACTATGGTTCTGATGAAGATCAAAGAGGCCGTCCTGACTCAGAGAAATCTGATCCTTACATTAATTAACAGGACGAGTGAGGTCAGTTAGCAGGAACATACGTCATCCTGGTATCCATGACCTCATCAGTCACATGACAACAGGAAACAGGAAGCAGAGGAAGATGAAACGTGACTGGACATAATGGTGCTGTCCATCGTCAGGAGGAGAAAAACTACGAGTCAGATTCATTTTCTGATCTAAAGAGTCTGCTTTATTATCTGGGTTGTTACAAATAAGAACATTTAGTGAGTCATCCATGACGCTAAGGCAGCCCATAATGTTCATAGGTTTACGTTAGGCTATGTGGTGAAACCTCACACGGAACAGGCTGCCACTGCAGTGTAATTCAATTCATTTCACTGCAGACAAAGAAGCAGCAATAATTCATTTAAACTATCTCCACGCTGCCGGGGCGATAAGAAAGCCATGGCAGGAAGAGGTATGAAGTGACCTGTTGTAGAAACCCACAACGGCTAAACGAGCTGTGCATGATGAGCACTGAAACTTAATGATTTTAGTTGTTTCTCCACAAGTTATCACGGTGATCACGGTCCTTCACCCACTTCCTGTTTTCTGTTGCTTCTAACAAACAGAAAATATATATTTTTCATTAAATGCTAGCTGAAGAGCTAGCAAACAGCTAACATTTACAAATTTCCATCGCCTACTGCTAGCCAAACGGCTAACATTTTTATAGCATTTCTATTCCAGGCTTGCTAGCCAAACAGCTAGCACAATAATGCTTGAACTTGCAGGTTTACTTGTGGTTCCTAGAGTTTCCAAAAGCAGAATGGGAGGCAGATCTTTCAGTTATCAGGCTCCCCTCTTGTGGAACCAACTTCCAGTTTCTGTCTGTAAGGCGGACACATAGTCTACTTTTAAGATTAGGCTCAACATTTTTGATAAATCCTATAGTTGGGGCTGGCTTGAGTTTCCTGAGCTATCCTTTAGTTATGCTGCTATGGGCTTAGATTACTGGAGGACAAACTGACCACATGTCCTCACTCTGCTGCTTCTTTACTTGCTCTTCTCCACCTGTTTGTATTTGCAATTATTTCTATCGTAACGTGGTTTTTATCTTTCCTCCTATAGACAGAACACCTGGACCTGTCCTTCTGTGTCTGTTTCTACTTCCTGTCCTCTCAAACTCAGCCGGATGGACACTCGTCCTGAGCCTGGTTCTGCTGGAGGTTTCTTCCTGTTAAAGGGAATATGCAGGATTCCTTTTAAAAACGGTGGTTACATGTACAGAGAGGTGTTTCTAACAACCACAGTCATCTGTTTTTAATCAACCACACCTGGATCACCTAGATCACCTGGATCACCTGGACCACCTGGATCACCTGGATCACCTGGACCACCTGGATCACCTGGATCACCGGGCAGGCTGCAGAGTCAGGGTGAGCCCTCAGACTTGTGTCTGAAGGGTGTTCAGGTAGACTTCTTCCAGCGCTGCCCTCGTGGTTGATCCAAGCGATCGATGAGGAAACACAAAGCTGTGAGGAGGCGGGTGTGTCTGAGCGTGTCTCTGCTGCAGCATGAATAATGGATCAGAAGGTCCATGTCCTGTCCCTGGTTGTGTCCTCATCTGGTTTATGTTTCTTACCGAGTGTGTGCAGAGAGAAGCAGCGTGAACAGAAAATCTCATTTAGTTTTAATCTTCGGCTTCTTCGGCTGCTTTAATAAAACAGACTGAGGAACAGAAATGAGAGGAAGACAGAAAGACTAATAATGTCTTCTCTTTCCATATCTGCTCCTCCAGTGGGCGGAGCCTGATCTCCTAAAGACCACGAAGACAAACGTTAACAATTACACCAGACAGCCTCATGCTACGCTAGGCTACAAGACAAAGAGGACATTATGGGTCAGTTAGAGAGGACATGGAAGGAGGACAGAAGACGAAGTGAGGACAGAGTGAGGACAGAGCACACAGAGGACTGACAGAAGACAGAGCACATAGAGGACAGTGAGGACAAAGAACCCAGACAACAGAGGACAAGAGTGAGGACAGTGGACAGAGTGAAGACAGAGTGAGGACACAGTAAAGACAGAGTGAGGACAGAGGACAGACTGAGGACAGAGAACACAGGACAGAGTGAAGACAGAGAACACAGGACAGAGTGAGGACAGAAGACAAAGTGAGGACAGAAGACAGAGTAAAGACAGAGTGAGGACAGAGGACAGAGTGAGGACAGTGGACAGAGTGAAGACAGAGTGAGGACAGAGTAAAGATAGAGTGAGGACAGAAGACAAAGTAAAGACAGAGTGAGGACAGAGGACAGAGTGAGGACAGTGGACAGAGTGAAGACAGAGTGAGGACAGAGTAAAGACAGAGTGAGGACAGAGTGAGGACAGAGGACAGAGTAAAGACAGAGGACAGAGTGAGGACAGAGGACAGAGTAAAGACAGAGGACAGAGTGAGGACAGAGAACACAGGACAGAGTGAGATGGAGGAGGACATCTCGTTGTGGAGAACCCTGGAGACCACTGCAGACCAGTTCAGTCCAGACCATAGCAGAGGGACCATCATGTCTCCAGTACTTCAGCAGAACCTGACAGCAGCTGTCCATCACATCTGGTGATCCGACTGAACCGGTTCCTGCAGAACCAGTAGAACCATCTGATCTGAACTGGCTCTCTGCAGAAACCGTTTATTCAAGTTCCTGCAGCCAGAGAGCCCAAACACAGTCCACTGGTCTAATGAGAACCGGGTAACGGTTCTGGAACGGTACAGTCAAACCCCAGACCTCAGTCAAGCTCAGAACCTCTGATCAGATTCTGTTGGACACAAGCAGAACCATTGGAGCTGGAGATGTTTGGACATGAAGAATGGGCACAAAGTCCTGGTCAGACGGACCACGTTACGCAACATGAGGCCCCTCTGGGTTCTGAAGTCTGCGTGCCGGAGATCCAGCAGACCAGAGTTCTGTCAGATAAACGGGTCGATGGGTCGGCTCAGTCCTGGCTGGTCCACATCGACACGTGCAGCTGAACGAACATTTAGACACAACATGAAATAAATCTAAACTGGTTGTTCGTCTTGGCAGCACAAAGCTCTCAGACTGAGTTTTACGGTGCGTCGGAGTTTATTAAGCAAACAAACAAACAAACAAACAAACAAACAAACTACAGCTCAGTCTTCTGAGATCCGTTCACGTTTAAACCCAAAGAGAGTCCAGATTTAATCCTCATCTGTAACAGAACACGGCTGCAGCGTCTGAGCTGCTGCTCTGCAGCCGATCACAGCTGCAGGAAGTGACATCACTTCCTGCCAAACATGCAGGTGATGACCTCACTGTTTCCACATGGCAGGTCCGTTCTGCAGATGTGCAGACTTGTTCTGTGGACGTTCTGATGCAGCTTGTTTGAAAGTTCAAACTCTGGTGTCACAACAGAACCCTCCTGCTCAGGTGAGCGTGGAGCAACCAGGTGACCGCCTCACCTGTCGGTTAAAGAGCATTCCCAACATTTTCCAAAGGGAGAAAATCTGGACATCATCATGAAGTGACTCAGCTTTAAGGAACGAAAAGAGAAAAATGTTTACCCGTTTACAGCCGGAACCAGGTGCAGATAAAACACTTCAGGTCCTCCTGGGTCCACGAGTCGTCAGGGTACCAACTCTGATTTAAAGTTCAGACATTTTGAAGTGGTTTTCTGTGTAAAAGTTATAAAGAGATTATATCTGTTATCTTGTCACAGTTCTGTCAGAACTAAACTCTGTTTGTCCAAACATCAAAGAGCTATCTACAGCAGGTAAGATATTAACTATACAGCAGCAGTCCACTTCAAAATGTCTGAACTACCCCTTTACTGTTAGAGACGCTGTGAGACTCTCAGCTCGTCTAGAAGAACCTCCCCAGTCTGACCCACCACATCTGTGGTTGAACAAGACCAGGTCCAGAGACTGGGAGGTAGATCTTACAAGACCTGGTCCAGAGGACTGGGCAGTACCAATCAGGCCTGTGGTCTAACAAGACCCAGTCCAGAGACTGGGAGGTAGATCTTACAAGACCTGGTCCAGAGGACTGGGCAGTACCAATCAGGCCTGTGGTCTAACAAGACCTGGTCCAGAGGACAGGGAGTACCGGTCTTCTGGAGAGCTGCAGGCCTTCATAACAAAAGCTGGGAGTCTCCTCCCTCCGTCTACTTCCTGGCATCATTCTGAGGGTTAGCATCATTAAAACACGCACACACACACACACACGCACACACACACACACACAAGGAGTGGGGGCTGGGGGCCACAGAGCAGCAGGTTCTAGGACTTACCTCATCTCTCAAAGCTCCTTCAGTCCTTCTTCGTCCTTGTCCTGCCTGTTGGACACTGGAGGACACGGCTCTGCTCAGGGACGGGGACAGTCCACCCACAGAGGAGGCTAACGCTAACAGCTAACCAGCGGCACAGACCGGGATGCTGAAGATGATGATGATGATGCGGCACCTTTCAGAGACCGGGAGGGGAGGGGCCCTGTTACCGTAGAGACAGAGGATGTGGGAGAGGGGGCGGAGCCGCGCTCTGATTGGCTGGCAGGGTGTGGCCGGCCTCCTGCAGGAGCAGGATGACAGAGCAGCTGCTCCTTTTCACGGAGAAAAACCGGAAGTCCTCCGCGCCTTCTTCTGGACCCTCCCGGAACTACAGAAGCATAAAAATAAACTTTCAGTAGAAATGCTCAGTAATCCAGGTAAAATTAGAAATAACCAGGTTGAGTCAGGTCCTCTGGATGGACTCTTCTTTGTTGAAACGTTTCACATTTTATCCAAAAAGACTTCTTCAGTCTGAGGAGCTGCAACAAACTCAGTCTTATAAATAGCACCTTCTCATAGTGGATCACCCAGTTTGTTGTTAACATCCAGAACCAGCTGTTCACATGTAAAAAACGAGGACCATCAGCCTAACGATGGATTCTTACCACCCTGATGGCTGATTGCTATTCACAGGGGCTGAGTGATACTAGCAATAACAGCATTGTAAGAGGGACCAATTGGACATGGAGGCTCCGCCCATTTAATGGTGGACAATTTCTCTTCGTAAAGATGGCCTCCTTCACTCCTCTCTCAAACCATCGTTCCTCTCCATCAAGGACGTGAACATCTTCATCCTTGAAAGAGCGACCTCTGGTCTGGAGGAGTGTAGACCTCAGAGTCCTGGCCTGATGCTCTTCTGTGCTGGTCCATCCTTTTGGCCAGTGACTGTTTAGTTTCCCCGATCTCAGAGTGTACCTTTTACAGTTCAGACATAGAAACCGAGGAACGTCTTTTATTAATTGTGGGAGTTTAAACAATTTACAGATTTCCCACTTCAGAATACAAAGTGGATAAATATTGTGTCACGAGGACAAAACAACATAATTCCTTTTGAATAATTTACTTTGAGCCAATATTTTGTTCAGACGTGTAAATTTGCCCAAACTAAGCCAACATTTTCAGTTTCCTAATGATTTGGACTTGAAACTATGCATTTCACAAAATACACAGTAAAAGTACTGCGAAAGTTTCTTTTAATGTGACTCCACTCGCTCTTTAATTAATAAATAATTTTACTCTGATCCGGAGGACTGGACTCCATTTTATTTTAGGTTGATGCTCCAATAATCCAAATCTATTTGTTTTTTCTTAATTCTAAACTCAGAACCCCCGATGAGAAAGTGATGGTTATTTTAAAGATAATTTAGAAATTTTATTAAATATAAAATGTAACAGATCCACTGAGTCCTGAGCAGGTCCAGCTCCTGCAGGTTCTTTTATAAAAACATCTCAGCAGAAATCAGGAGGAGCTTGAAGGACCTGAGCTCAGATTCAGGTCTAGGGTTCTGGATGAAGCCTTTTAACAAGCAGGAGGTGGATTTGGGTCAGGATGAGCAGCAGAGGGCAGCAGAACCTCGCCCATGTGTCCAACCTGCTGAACCCAGGAGAAACAAAAAAACTGAATATTTTATTTTAAACGCACAAAAACTTATTTTCACCTTTTAATTACCAAGAAAAACGTCACGTCAGTCAAATGAATTAATAATAAAAATAAACGCTGCGGACATTTTCTTTTCTGTTTGTAAATCTGTAGCTTCAATTGTTTAAACTTGAACATTTTAGGTTATTAGGAACTGAAAAGTATTTTCTGTTGGTGTAAAATCAACAAAAAAATTAAATTCTGACAGAACTATTAGACATCATCTGTTCAGGAAGTGCCACAGCTAGCTGCTGCTGTCCTTTGTGCTGGTACATCACCACAGAAACCCAGAGTGAAGGTCCAAAACCTGCTGTGGGCTTCAGACCAGCCTCAGCTCAGTCATGTCAGATTAAAACAGTTTCTCTACAGCCATCTACTGCAGGTAAGATATTATCTGTTCATCTAAGAAATGTTCCTTTATTCTTTAAATGTGAGTTGATTAAAATGTATGTTCTTCTAAAAACAAACATGAAATTGTCAGTTTTTCCTGAAATGTAAAGTTGAGTGAATGAGAAAGTGTCAAAGATTAACCCAGATTATCAGGATTTGTTGTGTTTAAAGTGTCGACAAAGAAATAAAAAGGCCCAGTCAGCAAAATAACTGCTCCTTATTAATTCTTGGTTTATTTAAAACATTCTGTATAAAGTGTTGAAGACGTTTCACCGACCTGTTGGGTGTGAAAGGGGGGGTGTTAAAAATCAGGATTAGAGATTATCGTCCAGATTACAACCTCTGAAATGTAGTGGAGCGAAAAGTTGAAGTACCACAAGGATTGCACTCATTATGTCATTAAAAAAAAAACATGAAGGACACAGAAAATGATGTTTTTTATCATCCAGACTAGGATTATGTGTGACAGAGTAAACCAGAGACACGTCCAACGTCTCACAGAATTTGTCCTCCGACAGAAGAAGAGCAGGAAACAAAAGCTGGACCGGAATCCCGTACCCCCATAGATTTATAGATTTATACTTAGACTTATATATACTTCTGTTTAGGGAAACTATTCAACATGTAACAAAAAATATGATATAAGTTGATTTCTTCCATCAGGAACAAAAAGATGTTTTTTCTGGAAATATTGCCCTTAAACCAAAACTGAGATTAAACGATCCTAAGAGCTGCGGTAAAGTTTAAAGTGTTTCTTTCCTTTTTTTACTAAACATGCAGATTTACCAACAGAAACAGGAGAATAAAAAAACACTCAGGAGGTGAGCCGACCTCCATCCAGAACCTCACAGTTTCATCATTGCTCATGTGCCATCGTAGAGCGGGAGGGGGGGGCTCTGAAGAACCAGAGGGGTCCGGTCCTCGGATCCTACGAGTCCAAACAGATGAAGCTTTACAGAAAAATGAGTTTTTACTCTTTTAAGAAACAAAAACCTGCAGAAGTCACTGAAACAACCTGAAACTGATCAAATGAAATCAGCTCACTTAGCAGCCATTGGCGTCAAAAGCATTTGTAATGGGGGGGGGGGGGGGGACACCCGTAGGGGGGGGGGGGGGGTCCTCCCCCAGAAGATTTTGAATAAAGTAAATGCCATTTCCTGCATTTGAGTGTATTTTAACAGGTTGTTAAACATCTACGTTTACCAACACTTGATTCAATAACTATTTTAGAGAGCAACAGGAAGTAGCCTGACCAACAGCTCTCCTTGTGTGAATAAAGCACGCTCTGCTTCTCTCGTGCACCCTAACATCTACATGGTCTCACTTGTAAATGAGTCTTCGAGGCTCAATGCGACTTATCTGTATAAATAAAGGTTGAATGAAAAAAACATCTATCCCCCCCCGGCCGACAACTGACGGCACTAATGTAGCGCTAAGCTAGTGCGCAACACAGAGGTGTCCCACCTACACCTCCGTGAGCACCCTGCCAAGCCAAGTGCACTCTGGGAATCACTGCATACTGTGGAGAGTTGTTGAAGGTAACCAGGAAAAAACGAAGTGGACTTTTAGTGGTTTGAGTATTCTCCTGTTTATCAAGTGGAATGGATTTGTTCACGAAAAAATAGAAACAGCACTGGGGGAACTCATTTTTCATAGTAAATGTGTGTTTGTGTGTGTGTGTGTGTGTGGGTGGGGGGGGGGGGGGGTGGGGGGGGCAAACACATATAATTGTTGTGACACCTATGGGTAGAGCTGCCGTCTCTCAGCAAGAAGGTTGCCTGGCCGGGGGCCTTTCTAGGGGGAGTTTGCATGTTCTCTCCGTGCACGCGTGGGTTTTCTCCAGGTGCTCCAGTTTCCTCCCACAGACCAAAAACATGCATGTTAGGCTGATTGGTAACTCTAAATTGTCCCTGGGTGAGAGTGAGAGAGTGAATGGTTGTTTGTCTCGTTTGTCTCTATGTGTCCCTGTGATGGACTGGAGGTCTGTCCAGGGCCTCTCGCACAGTGACTGCTGGATATAGGCACCAGTGACCCCCGCAACCCAGAAAGGAAGAAGCGGGTAAAGATGATGGAGTCGCTGCTGATGAAGTTTGTTTCAACAGAATTTATAAAACAAACGAAGGACGATTTATTTTATCTAAACCTTTTGACTTCAGTCACCTCTGAGGAGTTTCTGTCTTCAGTAAAAGAGTAAAAACACGTTCATCTGCTTCTCTACGCTCATTTTCCCTTCTGAAGCCCCGCCCCCTGCAGACCACAGGTCAGGACACACACACACACACACTCACACACACACACATCAAATGTTACAAAAGACATAAAAAAAAAGAAATGATGATAAAACAGACATGAAATCACCACGTGGACCACTGACTCATCTCGTCCTGTCCTTTAGGGGGAGGGGGGTCCTTTAGGTTCATGTAGTGGGAGTGGGGTACCGGTTCTGGTTCTGTCATTTAGTATCCAGAACCACAGCTCCGTCGTCCACCTCCAAATGAAGAAAAACAAAAGAAGCTTCAAGCAGCTGAGCGTCAGTTTTAGTGGAGCTGGAGTCAGAACCCTGCAGGAAGACTCAGGAGTCCCTCAGACCGTCAGAACTGTGAGGACCAGAACCAGGTGGGTCAGAGCAGTTTCCCTTTTCTCTTGGGGTGGGGTGGGGGGTGGTGTGCTCCTCAGAGGTTCTGCTGGACCCTGCTGAACGGTTAGTGTTATGTGCCAAATTAACTCTGCTCTTTTCTACAAACAGTTTCAAAAACGTGCAATTTTTAATCTCTAATCCAGGATTCTGCTCCCGGGTCTGGACCCGACAGGCGAGTCTGTAAAACCTAAAAACTCAAAGAGTGGAAGTTGAGCAGCAGCTCCGGCTCATGGGGGCGGGGCCTCGGCCCACGTCCTAGATGAGGGGGTCGGGGGGCAGGGCGTGCTGGATCTGCTGCGGCTGCAGGGGCGGGGGCAGCTGCAGCGGCAGCAGAGCCTCCACCATGCTGTGGCAGTGCTGCGGCGGCGTCCCCTCGCTGCGCGGGCTGTCGGCCACCTCGCCGCCGTGGAAGAAGTAGTCGCTCTGCACGATGAAGGCCTCGATGACCGCCTGGTTCAGCTTGGTGGTGGACAGCGTGTCCTTGTTCTCGAAGTCGGGACGCATGAGGGTGGGCCAGAAGCAGATGGACAGGTTGTCCGCCGTCATCAGGGTGGTCTTGCTGTGCTGGCTCACCCTGAAATGGGTCCACAGAACCGGACAGGGAGGAAAAAAACAACCGGATCAAACTCAGATTTGACTGGAGACGAACAGAACATTAAAGCAACAGAACCAACAATTGCAACAAACGGTGTAAACAAATAAACAAAATGGTAAATCTGAGTTGAAAACTGGTTCTGGTCCTGCTGCTGCTCTGGATCTTAAGAGGTTCAGAATCAGGAACTGCTGAAAAACCGATCAGCTGATCGAGGGTTCCGTTGGGTCAGGGAACAGAACCAGTTTTTCACTCACACTTAATGACACGATGTAAAAAATGTGAAGTTATCTTTGGATCAGAACTGAACGGGAGATGCAGCTGTTGTTTTCACCTGTCCGGGTGTGTTTGCACCTGTCCAGGTGTGTTTTTAACTGTCCAGGTGTGTTTTTATCTGTCCAGGTGTTTTTACCTGTCCAGGTGTGTGTTTGCACCTGTCCAGGTGTGTTTTTATCTGTCCAGGTGTGTTTTACCTGCCTATGTGTGTTTTTATCTGTCCAGGTGTTTTTACCTGTCCAGGTGTGTGTTTTTATCGGTCCAGGTGTGTTTTTATCTGTCCA